GGCTACCGCCTGCTCTTTATCATTTGCCCAGATGCTGAAGCAGATGCTGCGGCATCACACTTCACCCTCCAAAACCTACGGCCCGGCACAACCTACAGGGTGGGCGTTTGGGAGGTGACGGCGGAGAGCGGCGGGACCTGCAGCACCGGGTGGCGCTTCCAGACCAAGGTGTTGGGTAATGGCTGGAGACCCCCTCCCCTCCCCAGTCCCTGTGGGGTGCTCTCCGTGGGGTGCTCACCCTCACCCCAAAACGGCTCCGGTGTCCCAGGCGGGGTGCTGGGGACAAAAATGCCACCCCCCAGCCATGCCCGTCCCCAGGTCCCCAGGGAGCAGCGTGGAAATCCAACCTGAAGTACCTGGGCATCTTGCTCGGTCTTTCTGCTGTGGCCACCGTCTACCAGCTGAGCAAAAGGAGGTGAGAATGGCACCCTCACCTCCGCAGCTCCGGTCATCCCACCCTCCCCACTCCCCCGTTTCCCACCTCTCACCAAGCACCCCCTCCCCAGGGCTCGCCGCCTCCTCTTCCCACCCCTGCCCAAGCCCGTGGGCACCAAAGCCATCCAGTTCTCCACCGGTGAAACAAGCCAGGTGAGATGCAAAGCTCAGGAGGGGCCGGATCCTGCACCCCAGCAGGCGCCCACGCATGGCCCTGGTTTGGGACATTCCCGCTCCAAACGTATCCGACCCTTAGGGCCAGCCCCGGCCAGGCTTCGTGGAGCCCTTGGAGAGGTTCAGTCCAGCCGAGCTCCTGATAACGGAGCTGAATCCCAGCAAGGAGATGGCAGATGCCGGCACGCGGCCCGGCACACCGCAGCCCACCATGCCGCAGCCCGGCCCTGCGGTTGAAGAACCGGTGGTGGTGTGCCCATCGGGCTGCGAGAAGGAGCTGCCGTTTGCCTACCGGAGGCAGGAGATGCTGAGCCCGGTGGGATTTCCATCGCCTGGCAGCACCGGCTGCTCCGGCTGCCTGCCCGGCAAGGAGGAGGAGGAGGAGGAAGAAGAAGAGGGAAGGCGGGGGCTGCACCAGCCGCTGGTTCCCATTGCCCTGCTCATCTCTGACAAACCCGTCATCATCAGGGACGAGGAAGGATGGGACCCACCACCGGAGAAGTCGGTGCCGTAGCCATCACCAGGCTGGGGCAGCGGTGATGGACAGCAGGAGGGGGACAAAGAGGGTATCCCACGGGATGCTGAGCACCCGAGCAGGATGCTGAGCACCCACCTGATGGGCTCATGGTCGCACCAGCACTTTCAGGGAGCTTTCTGGTTTCCAGGGTATGGAAGGCGATGCCTCCAGATGCAGCGTTGCACGGGGCCAGGATCTGGCCACACATTTCCCGGCCTCAGCCTTTCGTTAGCGGTAAATAACGAGGGCAGGCGGTTGCAGAGTCCGGCTGGGGCTGGT